TTCGAGGTTCAACCTTCCGAGGTGCTTTTCTGAATCCACGTTTTTGCTGAATGAAGACATTAAACCTACGGGGGTAAATAATGGATTAGAAACACAATGGCATCTTGCAAATGTCAACATCTGTGAGTTCCCAATCATCATTACCGGTTCAGTTTATTCTCCCTCTACAGTCCAAAAAGAGCCAGGATTCCTACTCCTAGGTAGATTTCAAAAGCACAACAGACACCAACAGCAGCAACTGTGAAGGTAATTGGGCTATTACTTTGTATCAATCAACAAAATAATTTATATCCCTACTCCAGTTAGAAAGAATCTGTAGGCCTGTAAAAAGCAGAACTCTAAATGTCAGCTTCAATGAGCACAGAACTGGCTTTATCTTGTTTTAAGATTGGTCAGATTATAGGACAAAGTTTAAATTTATTGTCCTTCACTGGAAACTAAGAAGAGGAAATGAGGTAAAATGTACACTATTCTGGTTACTTGTACACTAAAAGCTCCAACTTCAGCATTGTATGTATAATTCATCTCTCTGTTTGGGCTTCCCTATTCCCTGAAGCAACATTAAAATGAGCCCCCCCCCCAAAAGTCTCACTCTGTCACCCTAAGTAGAGTGCCATGGTGTTGTCATTGCTCACAATAACTTCAATCTCTTGGGCTTAGAGATCCTCTTGCCTCAGTCTCCCAAACAGCTGGGACTACAAGTGCCCACAATAACACCAAACTAGTTTTTATATTTTTAGTTGAGATGGAGTCTTGCTTTTGCTCAGGCTGGTCTTAAACTGCTAAGATCAAGCAATCTACCCACTTCAGCCTCCCAGAATGCTGGGACTACACAGTCACAGCGCCCAGACTTTTTTTTTCTTTTCTTGAGAGTCTTTGTCACCCCAGCTAGACAGCAATAGCCTCATCATACCTCACCATAGTCTCAAACTCCTAAGCTCAAGGGATTCCCTACCTCACCCTCCTAAGCAGGTGAGACTATGGGTGCATGCCACCACACTTATTTTTTTCTATTTTTAATAGAGACAGGGGCTTATTCTTGCTCAGTCTGTTCTGGAACTCTTGGCTTCCAGCAATCCTCCAGCCTCAAATTCCAACAGTGCTAGGATTGCAGGCATGAGCCACTGTGCATGGACTGAAATTGGGCCAATTACTAACCCTAAAATGGGCAGCACCTGTGGCTCAGTGAGTAGGACGCCAGCCCCATATACCAAGAGTGGCGGGTTTGAACCTGGCCCCAATCAAACCGCAACAAAAAATAGCCGGGCACCTGTAGTCCCAGCTACTTGGGAGGCTGAGGCAAAAGAATCACCTAAGCCCAGGAGTTGGAGGTTGCTGTGAGCTGTGACGCCATGGCACCAAGCACTCTACCTAGGGCAATAACGAGACTCTGTTTAAAAAAAAAAAAAAAAAAAAAATCCTAAAATGGCCTCTAAGTGTTCAAATGAAAGGAAGAATAACATCTCTCACTTTAACTCAAAAGCTAGAAATCAAGGCAGTGCCCATAGCAGAGGGGCTAGAGCACTGGCCACATGCACCAGGGCTGGTGGGTTCGAAGCCAGCTGAGCCTGCTTAAAAACAAAAAAATAGCCAGGCGTTGTGGCAGGCGCCTATAGTCCCAGGTACTTGGGCGGCTGAGGCGAGAGAATCACTTGAGCCCAAGAATTTGAGGTTGCTGTGAGCGTGATGCCATGGCACTCCAGGGGGATAGCTTGAGGCTCTGTCTCAAAAAAAAAAAAAAAAAAAGCTGACTCTCTGTATGCATGGTGTGGTATCATCCTGCAAGGAGAGAGATGGGGGTCTGGATCCTGGCTCTGCCACATGCTAGCCAAGAGATCTCGAGCAAGTGACTTAACATCGCTGTCTTTCAGCTTATTTGTGAACGGGGTAAATAACATAGCCACCTCATCATTTTATTCTCAGAATTAAATGAGATAGTACAAATACAGGTGTCTGATTCTTGGTTAAGCGCTCAATAAATAGTAACTTCTTATCATCTCATAGAGCTCATCTAAGAAAATAATGCAGTATGGGGCCAGGCCTGGTGGCTGATGGGTATAATTGTAATACTTTGGGAGGCTGAGGCAGGAGGATTCCTCCAGGCCAGGAGCTCAAGACAGGCCTGGGCAACACAATGAGATCCCATCTCTACATTAAAAACAAAAGTAGTAGCTAGGCATGGTGGCATGTGCCTGTACTCCCAGCTACTCAGGAGACTGAGGCAGGAGGGTCACAAGCCCAGGGGTTCAAAGCTGCAGTGAGGTATGATTGTGCCACTGCACTCCAGCCTGGGAAACAGAGTGAGACCCTGCTTCTAAAAAAAAAGCAAAGAAAAGAAAAGGAAGAAAAGACAAAATAATGCAGTGTAATATGGGAAGGGAAAGTGGTCTGAAAGATAATTCTGACATAACTTTTTTTTTT